ATAATATATATCACATGTTTAATCTTATAAAACATTTGAAATTATAGTTTATCGAATGACATTATTATGATTTATCTTTGAATCTAAAATATTATCGAAAAAAAAAAAAATGTATAAATTTTAAACATCTAAGAATATACCAGCTTTCATAGATTTCAATTGATTATTCTCAATTTGAACGAAGTTGCCTTTGTCTATGGTTAAACCATAAAATGCACCATTGTTCAGTCGTTGGAAGGGATTACCAGAAACGTGCAAGTTTTGTAAACTGGCCAAATGTTTGCAAGAACCTTTTTCGATGTTGTCAATTTTATTATTAGAAAGGCTAAGTTGTAGTAACTTAGGTAAACCTTGAAAACTGTCACCGTTTATGGTGGTAAGAGTATTATTTCTCAAATACAAATTACGAAGATTAGGAAGTTGGAATGCACCAGGTGCTATATTAGATATTTGATTTTGATTTAAGGATAACGTGTGTTGCGGTGCATTAACGAAGCTACCCTTTTCCAAACTTGTGATTTCATTCGAGTCGAGATTCAATGATGCTAATGAGTTTGGTAAAATGGGAAAAGTCTCCTCGGATATGGTGGTAAATTTGTTCCCCATTAGAGTCAATTCTTGAAGATTGGTAAGATCGGTGAATACATTTCTGGGTAATTTGTTGATTAGATTTTGATAAAGATAAAGTATCGTCAACATTTTCAAATCGGAGAATGCTTTAGGTTCGATCTCGCTAATGCGATTTCTCGTTAAAATCAAAACAGGTAAATTTTCTTGGCCCTCGAAAGTGTGATCACGTAATTTAGTGATTTTATTATTTCCCATATTGATGTAAGTCAATCGTTTAGGATAGGAAAAGGTGCCAGGTTCTATCGATGCTATTTGATTGCTTGTCAAAACGAGATGACTCAAATTCGATGGCAATGTTTTAACGAAATCTAAATTGGTCAATTGATTGTCGGCTAAAAATAAACTAATTAAATTAGTTTTATCGAATGTATTTTTATCGATGTTTGTTATAACATTGGCCTTGAAATTAAGTCTCTTTAGATATGGATTTACTATAACGTCCTTTCGCAAATGATTTATCTCGTTATCAGCAAAATTAACGAATTCTATGTTAGCTGGCAAATCGTTTAACAATTCTTTAGTTACTTCGTTAATTTGATTTTCTGATAAATCGATCGAACTCAACGATACATTTAATTGATACCAACCATTTTGAAATGATCTGATATTCATATTACGAAGATCGAGTTGTCCCGGATTTCCATTCAACGTAACTTCTTTGCATCCTCTCGGTAAAGTTTCCTTATCGTTTAAACTGTTTACCAACGTTACAACATCATTCATCATGCATAGTTTAACCCTGGGATTTTCCGCGAGTTGACCGCTGATATCTCTTTTAAACCTTTGATAAATTTCTTTTTCCTCGTTCGATTCGATCTCACGTATTTTTCTGTCTAGAGTTTCAATCGTACTTTCTTCATCTTTATTATCGTTAATACGTTTATCGTCATCGTTATTATCGTTGTTTAATAAATTAACGAAAAGATCGGTATTTATATTCGATAATACGTTACCGAATGTCATTATATCGGTATATTCGTTCAAACCGTACAAATTTCCACGTTTTAATTGGTCGATCGGATTGTGAGAGATATCCAATTCGTTGAGATTTTCTAATCCGACGAATGGCGTGCCGAGATTGTTGATTTTGTTGTTGGCCAATGACAATTTAGTTAAGTTTTTCAAATCAGAAAAAATGGCGGAGTGCAAATTGCTCAGAGAATTGTTAGACAAGATTAATATTTTGATGTGCTTAACGTATTCGAATGCATTCCTATCGATTTCGATTAATTCGAGACTTGATAAATCTAGAGTATCGCTAGGTTCGATGAATTTCACAGATTTTAATTTACCATTTTCTATGGTTAAATCATATCTTTTCTGGGCACTTTGTAAAGGAATCGCTGCCACCAGCGGTAGGATGAAAAGTAACAAATGCATTTCTGTAAAAAAATCAGAAAAACTATCGTTGACAATTTTTCTAAAGTAATAATTAATAATAACAAATAATAATTCTTATTATAAACCAACGTATATATATATATATATAT